GGGAGAACCACTTCCTGGAGGAGGAGGTGAAACTCATCAAGGAAATGGGCGACCACCTGACTCACCTCCACAGGCTGGCCAGCCCCCAGGCTGGGGTGAGCGAGTATCTCTTCGAAAGGCTCACCCTCAAGCATGGCCAGGAGCCTTTGGAGCCCAGAGGCCAATGAGAGGCCCCTCTGCCCCCCTGGCATCTCTGGCTTTTACCTGAGCCTCTTCCCGAAACTACTAGTCATTCCTTTAACCGCCCCGGAGCCCTCTCCCATGCATCGGACCAAATGAGACAATAAAGCTTTTTGCAACAGTTGGTGGTTTTGTGTGTGTGTGTGCACGCGCGCCTGCACGCTGGGAGAGAGGAGGCGGGATCTGATCTCGCCAGGCTAACGGCACTGGGCCGGCAGGGAGGGAAGATGGGATCCCGCCAGCCACCTGCGGACGTGTTTGTAGCGGTTCTCTGCTCTGTCAGACTAACGGCCCCACCTCTAGGGTGGAGCCCGGACTCCAGGGAGGGGCTGGTGGCTGCAGACAGACACTTAGGAATACCAGACAGAAACCATACCCTTTTAGCCGCCAAGTGCGGGACCAAACTGGCTCTTTCGGGGAGAGAGGTCTAGAACTGCAGCCCCTTTATCTGGGTGAGTGGAGGGTATTGGTACGTAAGTAGCCCATGGCCACCAGGAGGCACACCCAGGCTGCTTGCTGCCTTTACTCCAATTCGAGGCAGGCGATGGGGAGACACAGTCGGGTGAATCTGAGGGGCTGGGAGCACGTGATGGGCACGAGCTGCTGAGCCAGGGATCGGGGGTCAGCACGGAAACGGGGAAGTGAAACGGGGCCAAGTCATCCAAACGGGAACTGAAGAAATTTTATGCGGAGTCCCAGTTACACAGTGACCCCCTGCCCTTCCCTGTTTGGGGTAGAAGAACCCAAGAGGAAGTGGCTGCTGGGCACCTGTTCTTTCTGTCCACTCAGCACCACGCTCCTGCTTGTCACCCCACTCTGACGGCGACTGGTGCTCCTGGGGGGAGAAGGGAGGCTTGTGTGCATGTGTCACCAACGCAGCGGCCGGCCGGAAGGATGAGCACGCACACATACAAATCCAAACGTTGGAGCGATTTACCCCCCTGGAGAGCGATTGGTGCAGAGATGTCCTATGACCTAGTAAAGACTACAACTGAAAGGACAAATATTTTCCCTGAAAATAGATCTCTCCAAGGGACAGTCTGGTCCGAGACCAAAGGCCGCAGAGCCCTGGAAACGTGCCCGCCGCCAGCACGGTCCAGCAGAACTTGGTGGCAATGATGAAAGTGTTCTTTAGCTGCAGCCACCGACCAACAGGGTAGCCAGGTGCCACATGTGGCTCCTAAGCACTCGCTTGTAGCAAGTGCTGAGGGATTTAAAGAGCCCCACATTGCTC